ACTGGAGGTAAAAAGAACTGAAGGATGTTTGTTGATAACGAAGGCTATGTTAAGATAACAATGAAAAGGATACATAGAACAGACTGACAGATCTCAGAGGGAGAAGGAAGGGGAGGATGGGAAGAGATCACCCCAAAGAATATATATGCATATATGCATAACCCATGGACATGGACAATAAAGTGGTAAAGGCCTGGTGGGAGGCAGGGTGGAAAGGGGGGGGGGGGGAATGAGAGACATCTGCAATAGAGTCAACAATAAAAAAACAAAAACAAATAGACAAAAAGAATAAAATGGAAAGACAAAAATAAATGAGAAAAGCAAAGTCTAACTTAAAATTCCTTAAGTCAGAGACAGAAGAGGAAAGAGGAATTCATTACAATAGCTCAAAAAGAAGTCAAAGAAACAGTGGAGGCGAAAACAAAAGAATCACAGGATAGGTAACAGGGGGTATAAAATATAGTCACAAAGAAAAAAACCTGAACAAGTAGGGGCATAACTGGGTACTCAAATAGGATTTTCCAAATGAAACCAATATAAGAGCAAGAAAGCAACGGCCTTTCTGAGACTATAAAAATGAAGTTATAAGAACTGGCTGGAAGTATATTAAATCCAAACATAAGGGCCTTAATGGGAAGGGCTTTTGGACTAAAAGGCAAATGAGAGCTTTCGTGTAGTACCTTATGATAAAAGTGAGTAATATTACAGACCATAATCATACTCTTACCTACTTTATGTATCTGTGTATACATAGAGTCCCAAATCCCACCCCACATGCTTAAGCTATGTGTGCATCTGTATTGTTGGATTAATTATTTCTGCATAAAGACAGAGTGAGGGAAAGCGGAAGAAAGGGCCAAGAGGATTCTTTAATGAAGAAATCTGATGACCCTTTTGATCCTTGGGTTGTGGCAATAATGGGGCTACTGAAATCTAACGAAGATGGGGTTCTGATCTGTTTTATACCTGAAATCAAGCCTGATACACACACACCAAACTGACTGAAGTACCTACAGCTAAATGAGAAAACACTTCTGTAATACTTGTAGGCATTCAATATTTGCCAACTATATTTACATTTTCTCTACTTCCACTTGTGTTTCCTGGCTTTAAAAAATATAGTATACAATATTTATTGTTATTTAAATAAATTCAAACTACTTAGCATAACTAACATTTTTCATTTAAAAAAGAAACTGGAGATGTAATTAATAAAGATACATTACTAAGTATAGGAAAATTGAAGACATGTAAGATTATAACAATTTAAAAATAAATCCAGTGGTTGAGCATCGACCTATGAACCAGGAGGTCACGGTTGATTCCCAGTCAGGGCACATGCCTGGCTTGTGGGCTCAATCCCCAGTGTGAGGTGTGAAAGAGGCAGCCAATCAATGATTCTTTCTCATTATTAATAATTCTAACTCTCTCTCCCTCTCCCTTCCTCACTGAAATCAATAAAAATATCTTTAAAAGTAAAAAATAAAAACAAATCTAATAATTACATACCTTATTTTGTAAACTATCAGAAAGCAGTTGAAAAGAACCCCTACACATAACACAAATGATAAAAGGCCACATATATTGGCATATAGAGAGGAATTCTAGAGCTATGCTGTCTACTAGTTATGTGGCTAAAGATCAAATTTATTAAAATTAAATACAATTTAAAATTCAGTTCCTCAGTTGCACTAGCCAAGGACTTTATTTGCAAAAGACTTTTTATAGTAATATCTGAAACTCTAAAGTCTTATCAATTAAGAAAAATAGATTTCTAAGTATTTCAAGCACTTACTTTTTAAAGCAATTTTGTGGATTCAGAGATTAAGTCAAGCCTTAAAATTATTTTAAATATTCAACCCTTATGCATTTCACATTTTAAAGATAAGTTAAGTTTTTATACAATCATTTTAAAACTTACTTCAAAATTAAGATCTCGGATCAAGATATCTCCATTTGGCGTTGCTAAAGGAACATGATCAAATCTACAGAAGAAATTAATAAAAAAGGATTAATTTTACATTAAACACTAAGCAAGTGTAGCTGAAAGAAAAGGGTACTATGTAGTTTAACAAATATTTATGGTCCTAAAAAGACTTTTTCTGTACGTACTTTATAATGTTATCAGCATTGATGATTTCTCCAGCTCCAGGTATCAAGGGAATGCTTTGTGCTCCTTCAGTACCTTAAATAGAAAATAAGTATTAAAGTATCATAACCACACTGTGTATTAAAGCAAAAACGTAAATTGTAAGACCTAGAACATTCATATTTACCCCTTTCTTGTTGAGAGATCATTGTGCGTTCGTATTTTCCAGTTTTTAAATCCTTTAATACTTGCATTAATTCTGAAATCCGAGCAGTAAAACTGAAATTAAAAAAAAAGCTATGATCAAATCTCCAGAGGCTATCATATATTATTTATTTTTTGAGATAAAATTGACATATAACATTGTGTAAGTTCATATCTTGTTTTACTTTTTTTTTTTTAATTCTCACCCGAGGATTTGTTTTTACTTCTTTATTTTTTTAGAGAAAGAGAAAGGGAGGAAGGGAGGAAGGGAGGGAGGGAGGGAGGGAGGGAGGGAGGGAAACATCGACTGGTTGCCTCCCATGCACTCACAGACCTGGGATCAAATCAGCAACATTGGCATGTACCCTGTCTGGGAATCAAACCTGCAACCTTTTGGTGTATGGGACAATGCTCCAACCGAGTCACCCACATCTTTTATTTTATGCAAACTTAACTGAAGTTTAAAATTATTATCTAGTGTAAATAAAATAACCTAAAAGAAGTCTCAATAACATAAAGTATTAGTGATAGTATGCATGTTTTACTATTACATTTCAGCACAAAAGCAGAAACATGGGGATAAAGGGAGAGGTTTCATAGGATTCCTACCTCAACAGATACTTCTTTAATAGGTACTAGTAAGTCAAGAAAGTTGCTTGCTGCTAGAAGTTTAAGGAAGTTTCTAGTAGATACTAGTAGGACTAGTACTTGGGCATTCCATAGGCCATGAGTTCCCGCTAGAGTGTGCTATAAAGCCTGGTATAAAGATGGCCTTCTATCTGATGAAGGTGTTTATTATATACTAGAGGCCCAGTGCACAAAATTCATGCACTTGGGGTGGGGGTTGGGGGTTCCCTCAGCCAGGATTGCAAGAGGGTGCAGGCCAGGCCACAGTATCCCACTGGTGTACGTTCAGGGCTGGGGAGGGATGTGCGAGGTTGGCCAGCTGGGGAGGGACCGCAGGAGGGCTCCAGGGCATGTCCAGCCCGTCCCGATCAGCCAGACCCCAGCAGCAAGCTAACCTACCAATCAGAGCATCTGCCCCCGGTGGTCAGTGCACATCACAATAACTAGTCAATTGTCTGCCCCCTGGTGGTCAGTGCATGTCACAGCGAGTGGTTGAGCAGCCTTAGCATATCATTAGCATATCATGCTTTGATTGGTTGAATGGCTGACCGGACACTTAGCATATTAGGCTTTTATTATATAGGATATGCCAAATGGCTGCTATCACCCTGCAAACAGAAGATTTGGAAGATTCCTCTCTTATTCTAAAGAGGGGAAAAGAGCCCAGTTGGTGTCGCTCAGTGGTTGAGCGACGACCCAGGAATCAAGCGGTCACCAGTTCAATTCCTGCACATGCCCAGATTGCAGGCTCAATCCTCAGTAGGGGGCGTACAAGAGGCAACCAATCAGTGATTCTCTCTCATCACTGATATTTCTATCTCCCTCTCCCTTCCTCTCTGAAATCAATAAAAAAGATATAATTAAAAAATAATTAAAAGGTATTTTTTAAAAATAAAGAGGGGAAAAGATAAAATGTTCTTAATATTAGATAGAAATCACTGTGGCAATAGAGAGAAATCAAAACTAATGACAAAAGTTTGAGGCATATAAGAATGACATCATCATCAAAGAGAAAGCGTTCTATATCAGAGACACAAAACAGGATTTTCCTGTGAATAACAAGCAGAAATCTCCTAAAGAAACAGAAGCATCCGTATGCCATGAACTGCACCAGAAAGTTAAGTAGGAAGAATGTCAGCGTTCGCAAGTGAAAGAGGTTCCGCACATAGTTTACAACTTCTTCTATCTTGCCCTGAAGACTTTAACTGCCATAGGAGGAGGGGGAGCAATAAAGAGGAAATATGCAAATGAACCTCCGGCCTGGCAAACACCTTAAGCCATCCAATTTTTCCATTGATCTAAAATTTATGGTCCTTTTTTACATTATACTGTGTGTTTTTTATACCAACCTTTTATATTAAGAGCTTGAAATACTGAAATATTTAATTCCATTTTATGGTCTAAGAACAATATTCTTAGACAATATGACCATATTTACAACTGTACCTACAGATACCACAAGATAACTTTTCATTTTATCCCATTAATATCAACCTCATCTTTGTTCATCTTTTGCTAGGTTGCCAGTATCAAAGATTTAAGAAAAACAAAGTATTATGGGAAACAGAAAGTTCAACTGAGAAGATTCTATTCATTAACTTAATTTTCTGTGAATTAATAAGACTGCCATGATTGAACATTTCCCAGATTACTGAATACCAGTGTCCATGAAGCAGTTTAAGAAATCCTAACCTAGTTTAAGGCTCAAAACAACTATCTAAAGGAAACATAAAGACTTCACTATCAGAGAAAAATCTTCCTTAATTCTTTATCAAAACCAGCTTCCAGGAGTAGCAGCTTCAGTTATCACTGATCTTACCCTCAACAGAGCACAATCATTAAGGATAACATATTTTTAAAAATTCTCTGCAACTGCTCAATACTAATCTTACTTACCCAGCCAATCTAGTCATTTCACGGCCAGCCAAAACTATTCGACCCAGAGCTTGAGACATCCGCAAAAGCATCCTTCCACTTTGGTAGTAATCCTTAAATAGAAATAAATATTAGTTTTCACTTACGTTTCTAAGATTAAAAACTAGGTTTTCTTTTTCTTCTTTTTTTTTTTTAAACCTTACCCAAGGATATTTTTTCCATTAATTTTTAGAAAGAGTGGAAGGGCAGGGGAGAGACAGGGAGAGAGAAACATCGATGCAAGAGAAACACATCGATTGGCTGCCTCCTGCACATGCCCCGACAGGGACCAGGGATCGAGCCTGCAACCAAGGTACATGCCCTGGACTGGAATAAAACCTGGGACCCTTCCATCCAAGGGCTGATGCTCTATCCACTGAGCCAAACCGGCTAGGGCAAAAACTAGGTTTTCTTTATTTTTATATTTAAATTTTCAATGTACCATTATTATTATTATTATTACTACTTTACCTCCAGAAGTTCTGAATGCGTACTCTTGAGATGTCGAGGATGAGACAAATCTAGGAAAGGGCGGCTGACAACTAGGTAACCAACTACAGTGGCAAGATCTGAAACAAAGCAATTAAGATTTAAAATACTCCACTTATTCCACAAATCTCATTCCACTATCTCTTTTATAGCATACTTACATTTGGCAATTATGCTATCGATGAAGCCCATAGAAAACCGAAACAAAATGAAATTATGTAGGTGTTCCACCTGGCAGAAAGCAAAAGCAAAAAAATAATTATTTTCTATGTTTAAAAAACACACAAATCTACCATAAGGATAAAATAAACTGTATAATATATTTATTCAACAAATATTTACTGACTGCAAATGATTTCTGATTATATTGTATACTAGAGGCCCGGTGCACAAAAATTTGTGCACTGGGGGGGTCCCTCAGCCCAGCCTGTGCCCTCTTGCAGTCTGGGACCCCTCGGGGAATGACCACCTGCTGGCTTAGGCCTGCTCCCTGGGGGATTGGGCCTAAGCTGGCAATCAGACATCCCTCTGGCAGCCTGGCAGCCCTCGGGGGATGTCCACTTGCCAGTGGGGAGCAGACCTAAGCTGCAGTCGGACATCCTTAGCACTGCTGAGGAGGCAGGAGAGGCTCCCACCACCACCACCGCTGTACTGGCAGCCATCAGCCTGGCTTGTGGCTGAGCAGAGCTCCTCCATGTGGGAGCTCACTGACCACCAGAGGGCAGCTCCTGCATTGAGCGTCTGTCCCCTGGTGGTCAGTGTGTGTCATAGTGACCAGTCATTCCCAGTCTTTCTGCTGTTAAGGTCAGTTTGCATATTACCCTTTTACTATATAGGATAGAGGCCTGGTGCACGGGTGGGGGCTGGCTGGTTTGCCCTGAAGGTTGTCCCGGATCAGGGTGGGGGTCCCTCCCGCTTGGGTGCCTGGCCAGCCTGGGTGAGGGACTGATGGCTATTTGCAGCTGGTCACACCCCCTTTAGGGTTGGGGTCCCCACTGGGGTGCCTGGCCAGTCTGGATGAGGAGCTGAGGGCTATTTTCAGGCTGGCCAAGCCGGCGACTGAAGCTCCCAGCCTCTCCTTTTTTTTTTTTTATTCTGGGATTTATTTACCTTCTATAATTGAAACTTTGTTGCCACTCCAGCTCCAAGGCCACGGCCTGCTGAAAGCAGATATCTGGGGTTTGTTTAGTTTCTATAATTGCAACTTTGTTGCTTAGAGTGGAGCTCAGAGCCCGGCCACAGCAGGGAGGGAAGCTTGGCTTCCTCCATCACTGGAGCAAGCAAGCCTCCTGCTCGCTTCAGCTGCGTGGCTTCCGGCCGCCATCATGGTTGGGCTAATTTGCATATCCTGCTGATTAGCCAATGGGAAGCGTAGCGGAGGTAAGGTCAATTACCATGTTTGTCTATTATTAGATTAGATCACATTTAATTGAGCACAATGATGATCTCAGAGCAGGTGCCAAACAAATACTTCATGAAATCATTTTTTTTTCTTTTTTTCTTTTTTTTTTAAATTTTTTTATTGCTTAAAGTATTACAAAGGGTATTACATATGTGTCCCTTTTTTTCCCCGCCTTGACAATCCCCTGGCCTCCCCTACCCCCCAGTGTCTTATGTCCATTGGTTATGCTTATATGCATGCATACAAGTCCTTCAGTTGATCTCTTACCCCCCTCCCTCCTGCCCCCCAACCCTCCCCGGCCTTCCCGCTGCAGTTTGACAATCTGTTTGAGGCAGTTCTGCCTCTGTATCTATTATTGTTCAAAGGTTTATAATGGTCCATGAAACCATTTTTATACAAACAGAATGAAAATTACATAAAGAAGGTTAATGCGGGATCCTTTACATGTAATAGTACAATGATATTTATTCACAATACTATCAGATACATATATGCTTTGCTTTGTTTTGATTATTGGCTGTTAATAATCAAAACAAAAAGAACAGAAGGATGAGAGCATTTAGGTTGAACACTAGCAGTCCAGATTGGCACTCAATGCTTTACTTTAGTTTGAGACATCTGGTCTATTATGAATGATATTACTACTCAATTTGAACCAAGTGCTCATGTAATTAAGGCCACAAAGTCCGAGTGTGTAGCTTTAATCTGAACATGCATTATCTCAAAATTACAACTCTAAAAATGTTTTTTATTCTGCATCTTTAGTGTTCTCACATTTTTCATCTATCGGATTATTCAAGGTCCTGCATGATCTGTCACTGGGCTCTATCTTAAACCTCATCTGCTTCTACTTTGCTCCTTTGATTGAGTTCCAGAAATGCAGCTTTCGAAAACATGCTCCTGCCTAAGGCTTTCTTCTTGCCGTGCTCACTGCCAGGAATACAGTCTTCCTAGAATCTAGGAAGTACCTACAGCTAATACTGATATTTTGTGACTAACACCCCCCACCCACTTCAAGTGGGTTTCTGATGAAATGCCACCTCCTCAAGAAGGATCTTGCCTTCCTAGCTAAAATACCTAATAAACAACCTCCATCATACTCTACCACTTTATCTTATTATATCTTTGGTCACAGAGTTCATTACCATCTAAAATCATAGAAAATATCCATTTGTTTACATGTTTATTGACTCCTCCACTAAAATGTGGCATTCCTAAGTACTGGGTAGCTTGCTCTTACTACCTTCTGCCAAAGAATAATGGCTGGAACATTTATTCAATGAATGCTGTGTGCTACATGTGTGCTAAATATGGAAGATACAACAATGAATAGAACAAAGTTCCTGAGCTCATGGAGTTTACATTCTAATGAAAGAGACAAACTAATAAACAAATAAACCAGATAATTATAAACTGCAATATATGCTTTTAAGGGTACAGATCACTAAAATGGAAAGTAACTGGTGGAGGCCATTTCAGACAGACTCATCAGAGAAGGCAAGGCATCAATAAGATGTAAACTTTTGGGCTGAAATGTAAAGGATAAGTATAAACAAGCCATGTTAAGAGTGGGCTGGTGAATGACTCCTGGAAAATTACCTTAAATGCAATTTAGTGAGCACTATCAAAGTTCAGTCATGTTAAATATACATAAGACAAAATTCCAATTTATAAAATAAGTTTAAATGGCAACCATTTTAATCTTCTTAAATCACTTCAAATATATATTAAATTTCACCAGCTTCCACTAAAATGTAAGCTCCATAAAGGCAGGATTTTGCCATCACATTCACCACTGTTAACACACTAGCACCTAGAACAAGCTCAGGCAACTAGATGGCATTCAATATCTTTTGAATGAATAATAAATAAAATTACTTGAATTCAAATTTTCCAAGTGGCAAGTAAATAAAAACTGAAATATAGTTTCCACAAGAAACAATGTTTATATTGTAAATCACGGGTCAACAAACTATGGCCCACAGTCCAAATCCAGCCTTTATTAGAACACAGCCACACTCATTCATTTATATATAGAATACTAGAGGCCTGATGCACGAAATTCATGCAAGAGTAGGCCTTCCTTCCCCGGCTGCCAACACCAGGCTTCCCTCCTAGCCCCGGCTTCCTCCAGAAAGTCTACCGGTCTAATTAGCATATTACGCTTTTATTATTATAGATTATAGATGGCTACATTTGAGTGGCAGAGTTGAATATCTTTAATAGAGACCATAAGGCCTGAAAAACCTAAACTATATATGTATTATGTTGTTCTTTACAGAAAAAGTTTGCTGGCCCCTGCTCTAAATAATAATCTTCACAGTATTTTCATGAATACTATTGAAACAAATTTTCTGTAGAAATCACTAAATTTATCACTAAATAAGACTCCTATGCAACATCTGTAAAAATATGCTGACAATTATTTTAATAAATTTACCATTTTATAATAGGCAACTTAATATATTGATATGATAGTTTTTATTCTCATATTGCTTAATGAAAACAATATATTTGTATTTTACATAAGCAAAAAAAAAAAAAATCTTTCCATAAATACATGAGCCTCAAGCATGTTTTCTTACCAGTTTTTGGAAGACCGCATGGATTGTCTGCTTTTCTCTTTTATTCCCATCATAAAAGGCAATTTCTTCACTATTAAAAAAAAAATTAGCAATTAATTTTGATGTTAACCAAGCCTGAAAAATTGCAAAACAGTATTTTATGACTGAGTATTTTTATCTAAATGGGCATTTTGTGACTAAGAGCTCACCAAGTACATCTCAAGCAGTGGTCTGCACTTGAGACCCAGCTCCTGGCTCAGCTGATCAGAGCATAGGAATACATACCCGACTAGATCCTAGACTGGACTGCAACCATATGTTGTATGTGTCATATATAACTGGCTGGAAAAAGTGTGCTGACCCTCAGAAATCAGAATAAAGAAATAAGAAATGAGAAGGAAGCTGCCATGATATACAGAAGGCACGGCAGGGACAGCCATCATAAACTACAAATTGAGTACAGACCAAGATAGGAGGAGAGGGGAAAACAACAGCTAGAGAAAGGTAGTGATGCCATGACATACAGCCTTTGAAAGACAGAAAAGCGAACTCAGACTTCACAGCCTCACAGTGACAGCTCCCAGGGGGCCTAGCTGGATAATTGTTCTTATTCTTGGAACCCCACCATACCCTCCCAACAACTTCCGTTTTCTTGAGCTGGTTTGAATGGGCCCAAAAGGGCCACAAGTGTCTTGACTAGAAATAAAAGGGTGTGTTTACAGATGAAGAAAGGTTCAGTGTAATTAAGTAAATTTGCTAAAGTCATACAGCTAGCAAGTCAAGTAGTTGAGATTAAAACTGACCATATCTGACCCTCGTTTCAGTCTTTGCATTTTATTCAGTATGATATAAACTTTCCCAGCAAAGCACCTCTTACAGCAAAGGAAAGGAAAGATTTACGTAGGAGTCCAGGAGGCACAGTTAAAACAGCCTTCAATAAACACCTAATTATTTCAAGTTTCTTTTCTCCTTTAATAATTATGTGAAATACATATTCTACTTCAAAATATGCCTGTATTTTCTCCATCATAAAAATAAGGTAGCTTCTATTTCAACTCCTTCAAGTAAAATTAACTTGCCATAAATATTCATCATGTCTGACCTGTTTCATGGTTCCCTTGATACAATGAGAGCCCCAAAGCATCAGAAACAGAAACAGAATCTGCACCTACAATTAGTTTTCTTATTTCCTTCGATCTCCTCTTCACATTTAAGCTGATGGAAGAAGATGGGGTAAGAATTCTACTTCCCCTGAACTGAGTCATCTTAGACCCACTCTAAAACCTGAAAGGACAAGACATCCTAGAGTACTGATGGCTGCCTTTCCAACACCTATTCTTGTTCTCATCCTTTTCCCTAAGAGAACCCCAATTTTCTTAAAGTTACCTATCCTTTTCTGGGTATCCAAAAGGTTTAGTAATGGCCTCAACACCATCTACAGGGGATGAGTTTCTATGTTCTAAGCCAATCACTTTGCTGTAAATGCTTGAGGCATGCCTGAGCAAATCACAATTCTGGCCAATGAGATGTGAAAGAAGGTCTGCAGTACGGTTTCTGGGGAAGTTTCCTTGCTCTCATACAGCAGAAGAAATGGCTCCATTTTTGTTTCCAGACTTTTTGCAAGGGAAGAAGGTTAATGAGATTTGGAACTGCTTTTGACATTTTATTATCACAAGAAGAACCAGGCTGAAGAAAGGGGCAACATAAAAGGAGGCAGAGCAAAGAGAACATCAAAGAGTCAGGAACTGCTCTACCTTACGAGTTCTTATGTGAAGTAGTAAATGTCCTTAGGTTGGAGCCCTCTGAGTCAGGGTTTTCTGTTTCTTACAATAAAAGAATCCTAGCTGATACCATCTTTCAGTCACTTGGCAAATCACCTCTCTATGCAACCGTCTATTCTCTGCCTCCCTGGAGCATAAAACCTTATTTAAAGCCAGTACCATTTTAGCAATCTAAGGAAATAAAGGAAGAGGGAACTATTAAAAGAGTAATTTTGTAAATGCCTATAGGGTAATAATAAATATTAGTACCCTAAAAATAACATACAGTTGACAGGTCAATATATGAGAAAATTTACTGAGCACCGTTACATATCAAAAACTGTCCTGTAAACAGACTGAGGAATCTCAGAGGGAAGGGGGAAGGGAAGGTGGGAAGAGATTAACCAAAGAACTTATATGCATACATGCATTACCCATGGACACAGACAACAGAGTGGTATGGACTGGGAGAGGATTGGGGTCTGGGTAGACGGGGAAATGGGGGAGGGGGGTAGATATCTATAATGCTCTCAATAATAAATATTAAAAAATAAAATTTTTTAAAACTGTCCTATAGCCCTCACTGGTTTGGCTCAGTAGATAGAGCGTCAGCCTGCGGACTGAAGAGTCCCAGGTTTGGTTCTGGTCAAGGACACATGCCTGGGTGTGGGATCGATCCCCAGTGGGGGCATGCAGGAGGCAGCCTATCAGTGATTCTCTTTCATCAATGATGTTTCTATCGCTCCCTCTCCCTTCCTCTCTGAAATCAATAAAAATGTATTTTTTGAAAAAAAAAACTGTCCTACAAGCTACTTATATTTCATATTTAATCCTCAAAATAGGCCTGTTATCTACCTATTATAAACAAAAAAGGTGAAGCTATACACGACTTGCCAAAAGTTGTTGAATATATAATGGATGAGTAGAAGAGGTAGATTTTGAAACTAGTCAGGCTGGCTCCAAAGCTCAATACTTTTTCTTCCTATTTTGGATTTTTGTGGAAAATAGGTAGAAGCACAGGCAGTAAGACTGAATTACTGAGTATTACAAACACAGTCTTAAAAACATTTTGAGATAAATTGAGACAAAATTTTCTTTTGAGTATTATATATAAATTTGAATTGTATTTTGACTATGTTTAAAGTTAAATTAACAAAATTAGTCAATAACATGAAGAAGTGAATCAGAAATACTACATAGTTAACCAGAAAAAAAGGTTATAAAACTGATATCCTTCAAAATGTATATTTTCAAAAGAGGTAATACACACACACACCTAATTTCATTTACAGTGTTACTAGAGTTTTGAAGTCAACTTACATCAGCAGTTCTCAACCTGTAGGTCACGACCCCTTTGGGGGTCAAACGACCCTTTCACAGGGGTCGCCTAAGACCATCAGAAAACACATATATAATTATATATTGTTTTTGTGATTAATCACTATGCTTTAATTATGTTCAATTTGTAACAATGAAAATACATCCTGCATATCATATATTTACATTATGATTCATAACAGTAGCAAAATTACAGTTATGAAGTAGCAACAAAAATAATTTTATGGTTGGGGGTCACCACAACATGAGGAACTGTATTAAAGGGTCACGGCATTAGGAAGGTTGAGAACCACTGACTTACATGGTATCAATATCCATAAAAATACATTTTTAGTACAGCTAAATACATTTAATACATTTCTCCTTACCTGTTTGTAATGAGCCGGGAATTAACATATCTATACTCTCCTTCATACTTTTGCTCAGTTATTGTCATCTTACCAATGGGTCTTCTAAGTCGAGTTAGGAGCAGCCCAGAAACAAGCAAATAGGCCATCATGCTCGCTGGGCCCTATTATTATTGCAAGAGAAAGACACAAAGTTCAAGGATATTTAATAAATTTACTGATCACAACATATACAATTTCTATAATTAAGTTGTGACTTTGAGAAAAGTTGATCTTTTGACTAATTTTTTCCCTTCTTTTCTGAAAAAACACACACTGGACCTCTAAGCTTTTACTATTCATCTATTCCTCCTCCCACCTCTGCAGCTCATCCCCAGCTCTCCCAAATATGCTCACCTAAGAACTCCTAATTGCAGTCAGTCATCATCACTCTTTATGGTATCTAACTTTCCCAATGGAACTCTTCTTGATATTTACTCAAGATTCCACAATAATTCAGATCTCCTTTTTACCTTCTCTTTGAATGTTAATATTCTCTGAGGTTTCTTTCTCAGCTTTCTTCTCCCAAATTTATATCTCTAGTCCCATCATTCCTAAAAACCCAAGAAATTATTTCCAAGTAAGTACTATTCATCTTCACTTCACTGTTCTGTAGAGCCTCAAGCCTAGCTTCCCCAAACAAGCTCCATCTGCCTTTCCATTCTCATACATCTTGCTTCCAGCTCTACACTTTCTAACTTGGTAAGCGACCTCATCACCCACTGACCATTCCAAGGCAGAGTCTTCAAGCTGACCTTCCCAAGCTCATCATGACACTTCCCTCATTCCCATACAAATGCTATGTTCTGCCATACGAAAATAATTGTTTCCTGAACATGCCATTCAATGAGGTTGTTCTTATGTCTGACAAGCCTGACATTCAGGGATGTCTACTCATCCTTCTCAAAGCAGCTCAGATATCACTTCCAATTCTTCCAAGAGTAAATATTTTATTCAAACTTCTATTATTGGACTTATCACTCTGCATTATAATTGCTCGAATACCTCTTTTATCAGATCATAATCCCTCCTCAGTAGTTCCTGTCTTACTCATCTTTTCATTCCTACCCGCCAGCACAATATGTGTAAAATACAGTGTTTATTCAAGATTTTTTAAATTAAATACAACTGATTCAATGCATTGCAACAAGTATGGGCAAAAATATAACTAAAACATAGTTTCTACCTTCAAAAAATGCAGAATCAGATAAAATGTAATAAGAACCATAAAAAAATATTACAGCATAGAGACAAGAGGGATTAGGCCTATTCACTTCTTATAACGAAAACATGCTATAAGAATGATTAAGCCTGGATCCAGAAATAGCAAAATAAAGGTAGACAATAAAATTCAAATAGAAAACTGCTGTTCCCAGCTTTTTGGAAAGGAACAAAAACCACTATATAAATTATTTACTAATCAACTACAATATATATATTTGGAAAGGAACAAAAACCACTATATAAATTACTAATCACCTAATCAATTACTAAACAACTAATCAAAATTATTTACTAATCAATTTACACACACACACACACACACACACACACACACACACATAAACCAACTATTATTATATGGTTACTACATGCCTAGTGCACAAATTTGTGCATGGGTGGGGTCCCTCAGCCTGGCCGGCAATTGGGGCCGATCGGGGCCGGCTGGCTGGGGGGAAGGACAATGGGAGGTTGGCTGGCTGCAGGAGGTTGGCTGTGGGAGCGCACTGACCACCAGGGGGTAGCTCCTGCATTGAGCATCTGCCCCCTGGTGGTCAGTGCACATCATAGCGACCCGTTGACTGGTCGTTTGGTTGCTTAGGCTTTTATATATATATACCCTATATATATATATATAAAAGCCTAATATACTAAGCTGTCTGTTCAACCAATCAAAGCGTAATATGCTAATGATATGCTAAGGCTGTTCAACCGCTCGCTATGATGTGCATTGACCACCAGGGGGCAGATGCTCCGACCAGTAGGTTAGATTGCTGCTGGGGTACAACCAATCGGGACTAAGTGAGATAAGTCAGACACGCCCCGGAGCCCTCCCACGGACCCTCCCCAGCTGGCCAACCTTCCACGTCCCGCCCTGGCCCCAATCGTGCACTAGTGGAGTCCCTTGGCCTGGCCTGCACCATCTCGCAATCTAGGACCCTCAGGGGATGTTGGAGAGCAGTTTTGGCCCAATCCCACAGGCCAGGCTGAGGGACCCCAACAATGCACCGGCCCTCTAGTATGCATATAAGATCTTTGGTTAATCTCTTCCCTCTGAGATTCATCAGTCTGTTCCAGTTTCCATGCCTGTGCATTGAGCGTCTGCCCGCTGGTGGTCAGTGCGCATCATAGCTACCGGCAGGTCGGCCAGTTGCGTAGGCTTTTATATATAGAGATAACAATAACATTACATATTAAATGACTAAAGTTAAACTTTAATAAGAATACTCAGGAAAAAATTAAAGGTCACTCTTACCAACACAAATATCAGAGACAGGGTAATTAGGCTCATATAACAACCATATATATTATCATAAAATATCCTTGAAACTGGTATAGCCATTCTAAAAGCATTCCTGATATTTTAACATTCAAATTTCATATTTAAATTATTGTTTCCAAATCTCTTTTTAGACATTACTTTGCAACAATAAGTACATGTATGTTCAATGTTAAACACTGCACTTATGGTTATCAATACCACACAAGTTTTTCAAGTATCTGATTTAAGGAAAATTAAAAAGCCATATTAGAAAAAATTTTAAAGCTCTAGTATAGCATTATTTTATAACTAGACTTTATTAGGTAAATCTTATAAAAACATGTTCTTGAGATATAAAATATATTCTTACAAACCACCCAGCCATTCACAATACAGCATTACAGTAATTTAAAAAGCAGAATAAAAGTAAACTCACCTGAGCTCCTATTGCACTCGTTAACTTGAAGATATACAAAACTATGTCTAAAAATGGCTGTAAAATAAGTATCACAAGGTATATCAGTAAAAAGAATTAGGTTACCTAGATTGATAGCTAATACATTAAATACAAAATGCTATTTAATATATAACATGTAATTGTTAACATGTAGAGTTCCCACTGTGTATAATGTACTGTAACATGTTGATCAATGATTACATAAAAGGCAGTTCTTATTGTAAAAAAAATAGAAAATGGAGAAGACTGACCAATGTCTACTGACTGGTGGAAAAATTTTATCACTTTTCATCACCTAAGGTAGCTCTACTGTGATAACTGACCATTAGTAACTAAGCAATTTCTCAAGGTAGTGCAAAGACATAAAATGACCCAAGTTGTAACTGCAAATGTGCTACCAGCTTTTCTGGTTTCTATATATCTTCACCTATAAAAATGAGAGGCTCTTCCTGCTCTTATTACTGTTTGATTCTATTATTTTGTCAGAACATCTATATGTTGAAATAACATAGTAAGCCTATTTATGAATATAATCTTCTGATATAAAATTCAAATTTCTAGGACTAGGGCCGGGGGGAAAAAAGGACACTTATGTAATACCCTTTGTAATACTTTTAGCGAAAAAAAAAAAAATCAAGTGGTAGTAAAAATAAATGAAAAATTGCTGACGAACATCAAAATTCCAAGAAAAAAAAAAAATTTCTAGGACTAAAACAATACATTAAGAACCTCACACAGAGACAGCTCAACTGACATGCTAAAAGTGTTTTTTGAAGTGTTTCTCAAGAAATTCAAATTGAGTTCGCTCACTTAAGTCTAGAGCCACCCCTTTTTGACTGATAAATACATTACAAGGATCAGGGACTTGGTTTATTAATTGGCTAGTACTACTTTCTTTTTGCCTTATAAATTATGATACCTGTGAAATTCAAGTACATTTAAAAGTTGATAAAAATTACTCATAATTTAAGTCAGAGTTCAAACAATAAGATAATATTAAAAGTAAATATATTATAATGCATAGCAATTAATTTGGTATTTTATTCTACTGCAGATGTGACAACACCTGAGCTGTAGACTTGATCAAGTGCCAAGATGTAAAGACTAGAAGTCTACAGAATTACATGAAAAACTTTATATATTAACCCCACACACTCACATATATACAGAACAAACTTTAAAATATGGTAATGGACTGATAAATCTCAGAGGGAAGGGGGGACAGGAAGAGATTAACCAAAGAACTTATATGCATATATGCATAACCCATGGACCCAGACCATAATGTGGTAGGCCTGGGGGAGTGGGCTGGGACGGAGGTGGTGGGCAGCTGGGTAAAGAGGGGACATCTGTAATACTTCCAACAATAAAGATAAATATAAACAATAAATAAATAAATGTGGTAATGGGTGAAAAGAAAGCTGAATTACTGAACAATATAGTTTTGTCAGAGTTCCTAGAGTTTGGAACCAGTTAGCAAAGGCTTCTTCTAGAAAGCAGAATAAAGACAAGGTTTGGCATGAAGTGAAAAGGTATCTTAGCAGTGGGCATATCATGAGGAGTGAAGCTCTTGTGAATACATATTACTTTTCTAAGAATTGCCTATCCTCCCTCCATCCACATGGTTGAAGCAGAGCATTCCTGTTCTTACACTGTGACCAAGCCCCTTGTATATGGATATCTGGATCAATTGTGGCCAGAGGCAAAGATACTATAAACGGTCCAGTCTGAGACAAGCTCCCACTGCAGACCAAGAGCTGTCATGTGCATCGAAGTGAGAAATGGAGCATCATCTAAAATGAAGAGGGGAGGAAATGCTGTGTAGATAGTCTCACAGGTACCCACTACATGTCCAAGTGCATGTGTAAATTAGTATCTTATGAAAGCTTTTTGACTATTATTTAAATGATCTAATAGAATTAGAGATACTGAAGGAGAGAATGGGCAGAAAGAAATGCTAGCCTAATGGTAATGGATGTAGAACTAGAAGCATAAATTGACTGCAGATCTCTTAACAATTGCAGAAAATAGAGAGGTCAAAAGATAAAAATGTAAATTTTTGTTGTTTTACTGAAATCAGACTTAATATTCTTATGAAATCTTTATAAGACACTAAATTCTCAGTTCTTAGCTAAAGCACATTATAAAAATAATATAAAAAATTAAATAATTATAGTTAAAACTATTATAACTCAAATTTTCTCATAAAAGTATTAAATATTTACATGATGCTCTTATATGAATCAAAACAATTTTACATAAATTTGCTGAGATTCAAAATTCAAAAAATTAACAAGTAATAATAAAAAATTAAGACACTTACCTTACTAAGATTTGAATACAGATCAACTACACTGTTACAAAACTTTTCTACATCTTGTGTAAGCAGCTGGTCTGGGTTAGCTATTCTGTTGTCCAGATTCCCCATTTTATAATATGTGAAAGCTCTAAAATAGCAATAAGAAAATGACTTTAAAACAAATGATATTTTTTAAAAACTCACATTATACTACTTAATTCACATTAATAGAAACAGAAAAGTTTGGAGTTGGAAGAGGCCCCAGAGATTGTCCTAATTTACTTTAAAGATGAGGAAACAAGTCTAGAGAAGGATGACTTGCCAATTAATGGAAGAGCCAGAATTATAGATTCTAAATACTGGGTCTTTCCTTATATGTTTCTGGGTCTAAAAGCAAGTTTCTTGAAAACATAGCCAACAAAAAAGAAAATCTACATCTCAACATCATAAGTATCACCGTTCAATTTAAGTATCTTAATATAAAAATAGGTTATTACTTACTGGAGATACTCCTCATAGAGGTATTTAGTTAGCCTTACTCGGAAGCACAGTTTGAGCTCATTTAACCCAAACTTCAAGAAGTTATTAACCAGAGAGATCTAAAACAAACAAACACATATTACTGATTTTGCTTAATTTCTACTTACTAAATCACAATGTATTTCTCTGTCATTGGCTATGTCCCCAAATCCTATGATTTTTATAATTAATAGTCCAAATTTATATAATTCAGTTCTGTTTTACTTAAAATTTACAAAGATACAAAAAGAACATGCTAACCAGTGATGGCGAACCTATGACATGCGTGTCAGAGGTGACACGCGAACTCATTTTTTTGGTTGATTTTCCTTTGTTAAATGGCATTTAAATATATAAAATAAAGTCTTTGTTTTACTATGGTTGCAAATATCAAAAAATTTCTATATGTGACACAGCACCAGAGTTAAGTTAGGGTTTTTCAAAATGCTGACACACCGAGCTCAAAAGGTTCGCCATCACTGTGCTAAGCCAAAGGCTCTATTATCCTGATATGTTAAACTTTACTTGGAACTTAATTTTAGAGTATGTTAATATCATTAATTCTGAGAAGTCTCTAGCTACCGTTTATTCTGGTAGAAAAAAAAGCCAAATGTGTCACCTTCCTATCTAATGTAAAGAACTTGCTTTTAAGAAGTACTGACATTTGTGTATACTTTCTGCTTCCTACTACCAGTGTTACAACCCCAGACAATGGAATTCTATACATATTGCATCTGTATTTGTTTTAAAAAGTAGTATAGCCTGACTGGCGTGGATCTGTGGTTGAGCATCAACCTATGAACCAGGAGATCATGGTTTGATTCCCGGTTGGGTTACATGCCCACGTTGCAGGCTTGATCCCCAGAGTGGGGCATGTAGGAGGCACCCAATAATGATTCTCTTTCATCACCTTTCCCTTCCTCTCTGAAATCAATAAAAAAATATATATTTTTTAAAGTTGTATGTCTTATACCTACAGATTATTTCTAGAGTCATATTTACTACTTTTTTCCATCATTATATTAAAACTAGCCAGTGCACGAAATTCGTGCACCGGTAGGGTCCCTAGGCCTGGCTGGCGATCAGGGCCGATCGGGGCCTTCTGGCTGCCAGCAGGGGTCTTCCTTCCCTGGCTGATGGCTACCGGCCGGGGCCTTCCTTCGTTCCATGACGCCCCCTGGTGGTCAGCACATGTCATAGTGAACGATTGAACTCCAGTCTCCAGGTCGAACTCCGAGTGGACACTTTGCATATTAGCCATATATATATATATTTTTCTATAGTTCTGAGTCATATTTACATAAAATTTTTATCCAAAAAAAAAACAAAACTGATTTTCTGCTTAATCTCATTTTTTGACTGATAGCTAAGCTACTTATCTCAGCTTTATTAAATCTGACATATAATTAATGCATTTTACAACCAAGTTCCTCCTTTTAACTCCCACATTTAAAATATTAAAATTCTTATAGTGCCAATAAAATGGAACAAAAACCAAAGCTAAGAAAATCACTTATAATTTAGAACAGCGGTTCTCAACCTGTGGGTCGCGACCCCTTTGGGGGTCGAACGACCCTTTCACAGGGGTTGCCTAAATACATCCTGCATATCAGATATTTACATTACGATTCATAACAGTAGCAAAATTACAGTTATGAAGTAGCAACGAAAATAATTTTATGGTTGGGGGTCACCACAACATGAGGAACTGTATTAAAGGGTCACGGCATTAGGAAGGTTGAGAACCACTGATTTAGAACAAATACTCACCTTTATTTTTAATAAATTCAGATAATAAATTACAGTTTAACTTAAACTGTAATTTATTATCAGTGGTTTGAGTTACTATAATATTGTGGCCTGAAGCAATAAATGTAAATCAGGATGATTTTGTGCCGCCCTCCCCCCCCACCACCACCCAAGCTCAGCCCCATGGGACATTTTTGGTTCTCACACTGGGGAATTGGGGAGGCGGGGGGGGGGGGGGGGGGGGGGACACGGACTACTCCCATTTAGTGGGATGCTATAAATATTCAAGAAACCTTAGCTTAAAGGTTAAAAATAAATCCACATATGTAGACATTCTTTTAATTTTTCATCTAGTGTAAAGGTTTACATTGAAATGTTCTACTACAGTTATAAAACTAAATTCAAAATAGGAACTCCATATCATAAGTCTTTAAAGAAGTTAATAAGTAAATATCCTTAAAGATTTTTGGAAGATGCAATTTTTTCCGCTGTATAAATTTAAAGAATTCCACTTACGAGAGGCATGGCAGCGATGAAGTTGAATAAGTATCTCTTGAAATCTTTTCTGCTACGACCAATGATACCACTGCAAACCACCACATGCAATGCATTAGTTGCAAAAGAAGCAATATTTTACACTAAGAAAACTTCTGAAAACAGCTGTAAAATTACTCTTGCAAATTTTTATTGAATCAAAAGAATACAAAAAAAAGATGCTAAATATTTTCTTACAAATACATGTTTCAACTTTTGAAATTTTATCGTTTTAAACAGCTTTCTTGAAAATCACTCTATATAAAAGGCAGCATTAAATAAGAGGAACTAGTTCTTTCCTTAGTCAAAATGTTAATTTTTTAAAAAGGCTTAGGCTGCCACAAAAGGGGTTTAGATGGCAAAACAATTAACTCTACACACTCAGGAATGGGTTACTATGGATAAAACAAACTAGTATTTCTTTGTTTTTAAAATGTTTTAACATTCTGATTCTGCCTTGTTATGAACACATAGACTTAATGAGAGATCAGCAAATTCCTACTATAAAGGGTCAAGAGCAAATATTTTAAAGTCTGTGGGCCATCAGGTCTCTGTTGCAAACACTCACTTCTGCTACTGTAGAACAAAAACTGCCAAGAATGAAACCAGTGCCGTCCTAATAAAATTTTACCACAACAGACGGCATTGGGCTTTGACCTGCAGGTCTACTTTGCTGACCCTGGAGACTAAATAAAATAACTCAGTAAATCAATAGGGTTCCTCAGAGTCTCAAGGTCTGTTAACATACTTCAACTAAACAAGCTCCTCTTTTTTGAATCTGTTTTTGATCAATTTTACTTATTTGTTTCTAAATATCCATTAAGAACTTTTAATGTAAGGGTTCCACTACTTTTTTAAAAAGTTTGAAAGCCATTAATATAATGTAAGTAAAGAATATTTGAGTACTGTACATCTATGATCCAGTAAAGAGATAGAATTTATTTGATCACACACTTTCATCAAATAACATTAATACTTCAAGTATAAATAAAATATATTTTGAAAAATACTGCACTAAATTATTTAAACCTAACCACACACACACACACACACACACACACACACACACACACACACACGGTATATGATAGAGAATAATTTGCTTTTAATGAAGGATTAGGTGAATAATGCCAAGTTATGTTAGCTGATCTTTTAGATAAAAAAATAATAATTCCATGGTCAAATAAATTCAGGAAAACCTGGCTTAAACAAAGCTAACAAATATCTTTACCGAAGACCTTCTCAAAGCACTTAAATGTATATGTGCATTGTGACTCTCTGAGAGGACTTTGTAGCATGTTGCAGCATTTCCTCTGTCATAACTAGCATTCCACAGAACATACTTTGGGAAATGTTACTTTAGACTGGTATAAAAATCAATAGTCCAATTTTGATACAACTACTAAAAAGTTAAAAAATTTAAGTTGAGCTAGAAAAAAGTTAAAATAGAAGCACACAAAAGTGTTGTTTGTAGCAATAAGAATATTAGAGACACAAAGCAATTAAGACAGAACAAAAGGTTTAGAGATTTAAAATTGTTTGAACCAAACTTTACATAAAACCAAGTGCTTTAGTGCTGCCCAAGCTGCGAAACACACAAAATTATAAAACTTTGGTAAAACACATGCCATCATTCAGCAATTGTTTACCACTGGAATAGCAGCTATAAATTTAAAAAATGGTTCCTTGAATAAAGCTTTATTTCTGCTTATTATTCCACTGCAAAACAAAATAATAATAATGAAGAATATAGTAGTCCCAATCATTATTACTTTCAATACATATAAGAATCTTATAAAAGATAAAGATGCTGCTTGTAGCCAAATGGGTGAAAGTAAAATATATATATTGATGATTACGTGTAACAGCAACAAGATAGAAGGATTCACCTCCATATCATGTAATTACCACAGTTTCTTAAAGAAAAGGTGTGTCCTATTTAAAATGTGCCCACACTCCAAAGGAATTAGCCACTGTTAACAAATAAGCCTAAAAGGTATAAAGGATATTAAAATGAGGTACACTAAGGACCAAAGCAGAAATGGATGAATCTAAACCTACTTTGGAAGACAAATGGGAAACAATAGATAAATTCATTTACAATGTAGCTTTAGTAGCAAGTTAGAGAAATGTGTAAATTTTTCAAATAATGTTCCATATTATGAACTCACAATATTTTAAAACTTGTAATTTGACTAAATATAAAATAGTTCATATTTCTGCTACAGCAGAAGGTCAAAAATATTTATTAAGGAGAAAATTAACTTTAAAATGATCATTTCACAATTGGTAAATTTGGATTAAAAGTACTGTTTAAGGTAGTTCCTTATGCTATTCTTACAACTTTTCTGTAAGTTTAAATTGTATCAAAATAAGTTTTTTAAAAGCTATTAAATTTAAAAAATATTTTTTTTACATCTCATAACTAAAATTGCAACAAGATGATTATCTACAATTAAAGGCTGGCTCATGCTACACAATAACTTTCCTCTATCCACAATCACCAATTAAATTAATGCATCACATACTCTTAGTTAGGCATTTTCTACAGGACAGTAAGTCTTTAAGAAAATATGTATTGGCATCTATTCAATTAAAGTTGGAAATCTCTAGTTTAGAAGAATAAATAATATACTTTTGGATTACAAAAACATGAAATCAAAATCTGAATAAAAGGGAAAAACTTCTAAAAATAAACTAATCTCCTGTATTATACCATGACTGTACAGGGTTTTAATGTGTAATATATGACAAATTCTATACAGATATTTAATACCAGAGGCCCCGGTGCACAAAATTTGTGTGTGTGTGTGGGGGGGGGGGGGAACGGGACGGGGGGACGGGGGTGTCCCACAGCCCAGTCTGCGCCCTCTCTCAATCTAGGACTCCTCAGGTAGGGTCCCTAGCCTGGCCGGCGATCAGGGCCTATCAGGGCTTTCCTTCCCCTGGCTGCGTAGGTGTGATCGCTTAGCTGGCCTGGGCCTCCCTCTGCAGGGCGATCGCTGGCCGGCCCCACACACCCGCCACAGTGTCGCTGGCCAGAGGCCTGGGCCTCCCTCTGTGGGGCTATCGATCACGGGGCTCTGTGATCAATCACCCAGCAGAGAGAGGCCCCGTCCACCCAACCAGGGCTCCACGATCCATCGCTGCGCAGAGGGAGGCCCCACCCACCGGCCAGGTAGCCTGGGCCTCCCTCTTTGGGGCAATAGCGGAGGGCCCCCCCCCCCATTGATCGCCCCGCCAGCCGGTAGCCTGGGCCTCCCTCTTTGAGGCAATCAATCGTGGAACCCCCACATCAGTCACCCCGCAGAGGGTAGCCTGGGCATCCCTCTGTGGGGTGATCGTAGGGTGATGGCAGGGCCCCCCGACCAATCGCATTGCACTCGCCTTGGCTGGCCTGGCGCCAGTGGGTGTCACAGCGTGGTCGTCCGGAAGGTCATCCGAACGGTCGTTCTGCTGTTTGGTCGTTCGGTCAATTTGCATATTACACTTTTATTATTATAGATAATGTTACTCAGAGCAGATGTAACCTATATATTTTTGCCACAGGTAATAGTTGGGGAGTCTATATTTTTATTAACAGATATGGCATCTAAATAATACAGCCATCAAAGAAAAAGCATAAAATTATATAATAATGTAAAAGAACATCACTTTTCTCTACATTAAATACATAAAGGATTCCAATAAAACCGATCCTTCTAAAGCTAATATGCTAGCAACAATGAACATCTGAACTATGTTTATATTGAAATTCTTAGATTTGTTAGAGGCACACAGACACAAAACTGACCGGACTCTGCCCACAGACACCTATAAACCTTGGAGACCAGACACTCAACAAGCTCTCAAATTGGCTTCTAACAAGATTTTTAGGCCTTCAGTTTTAAATATGAATATAGAGCCAAGAGTAGCAAACTGCTTGAGGAAAGCCTCTAACAAGATCAGAACAACAGTCAAAGGATCATGAAGGAAACAAACAAAAAAACAATGCTATAAAAATGAACATCCATACAAAAAGATAACTCTTAGAAATAAAAATATAATAAAAATTCTCTGGCCGAAGCCGGTTTGGCTCAGTGGATAGAGCGTCGGCCTGTGGACTGAAAGGTCCCAGGTTCGATTCCGGTCAAGGGCATGTACCTTGGTTGCGGGCACATCCCCAGTAGGAGATGTGCAGTAGGCGGCTGATCGATGTTTCTCTCTCATCGATGTTTCTAACTCTCTATCTCTCTCCCTTCCTCTCTGTAAAAAAAAATCAATAAAATATATTTTAAAAAAAAATTCTCTGGATGATAAAGTTAAAAGGAACTTCCTAGAATACAGAATAAACATCAGTAATAAAAAACAGTATAGAGCCCGACGGGTGTGGCTCAGTGGTTGAGTGTTGACCCATGAACCAGGAGGTCACAGTTCAATTCCCTGGTCAATGCACATGCCTGGATTGCAGGCTAGATCCCTAGTAGGGGTTGTGCAAAAGGCAGCCAATCAATGATTCTCTTATCATTGATGTTTCTCTCTCTCTCTCTCCCTCTCTCTCTCTCTCTCTCTCTCTCTCTCTCTCTCCCTCTCTCTCTCTACCTCTCTGAAATCAATAAAAACATATTTTAACAAATAGTATAAAAATTATAAAAATTATAGCATAATCAGATGATGAATCTAGTACGTACAACACTCAACTAATAAAGGATTCCAGAAAAGGCATAGATAAAATGGCAGAGGAAGAATGATGGAAAAGAGCCCACCTCATGCCCAGCACAATGAAGTAAAAAAAAGAACAAATCATACCAATATTCAGTAAAATTCCCAAACACCAGCAATACATCAGTAACAAATGATCATAAAAATTTCCAAAGGTTAAGAACCAGTAAGTCTTATCCTATATAATAAAGAGGTAATATGCAAATTAACCCTCATGCCCTCACAAGATGGCTGCCTACCACCAGGCCGGCAGGGGGGTTAGTGAGGGACAACCAAATGACTGAACAGCAGGATGTGTGGGGTGACCAGGCCAGTGGGGGGGGTTGGGGGTTGCACCATGAGGAGCAACCAGGCTGGCAGGGAGGGCAGTTGGGGGCGACCAGGCCAGCAGGGGTAGGCAGTTAGGGGCGATCAGGCTGGCACGCAGAGGCAGTGAGGAGCGATTAGGCCGGGGGGGTGGCAGTTAGGGGTGACCAGGCAGATGAGCAATTAGGAGCCAGCGGTAGAGGACTGTGATAGGGATGTCCAACTGCTGGTTTAGACCGGACCCCCGGGATCGGGCCTAAACCGGCAGTCAGACATCCCCCAAGGGGTATCGGATTGGAGAGGGTGCAGGCTCAGCTGAGGGGACACCCCCCCTGCCCCGTGCACGAATTTCATGCACCGGGCCTCTAGTAGAAGATAACAGGGGATACTTTCCAAATTCTGACAAAAAGTAATTTCCAACTGGGAATGTATAAATACTTCTCAAGTATTATCAGATCTAAAAGGTCTCAAAAATGTATTTCCCTTGTACCTTTTCTCAGAAAAAGACTGAATTTGCCAAAATGAGAACATAAACTGAGGAAGAAGAAAACAAAAGATACAGAAAACAGGTTATTCAATGCAGCAGAGAAGTATGAAAGAAATTCCCAAGATCATGCATGATAAAAGCAAATTCAAACATGACTGCTATTTAGTGGGCCTAAAATGCAATCCATCCTGGTTAGAGCAGGAAGACAGGAAACTAACAAGAAGCATAGAGTGGGTAGTAATAGATAAAATCAATAGATTATTTGGTATATGTGACCATATTACAATACTGAGATGATTTTACAGTGTTGTCAATAAGCTTGAGTTCAATTAGTAAGAAATAGGCAAAAACCTAAAGCACACAAAACCTTGCAATTTCTAAATGCCAGGAGAAACAAAAAATTGTATATAAAAGAAACTACTAAAATATATGCCATGTGGCTCAGCTATAAACAATAGTCAAAATCAAGTAAACAATAAATTCCAATTTAATAAAATATTGTGATATAACAACATTCAGAGGGAAAGGATGAGCATGGGCATGGCTAACAGTGTAAAAAGCTGATTCTCATCTTCCAAAGTAGGAAATAAATACATACTTTAAAACTGAAAAATCTAGAAACAGTAACACAAGTATGTCACACTGAAGTCCAGAGATAAAAAAAAAAAAAGAGAGAGAGAGAGAGAGAGATGAAAGAATAAAAAGAACAGAAAATTACTGGCTCCAGGAATGACAGTTATGACTGGAAGAAATGGTGCACAGGATTGATACGTTTGTGACTAACTCCTGCAAGACTATCTGACATTAAGCTATGTTCACATATCATTTTTAAGTTGTTTATATATTACTTTGACTAAAACCTTTTAAAAGGCCTGGGACTGACCACAGGTTTCAGAGAGACTTGTGTTGAATATAGGAGCCTACACAATTTACACAAATTCAGAGGCATGTGATTAGGGCTTTAAGCTTATGCAGAAAACCCTTATTCTCTGAGACAGCTGAGTCAGAAAACATGTACATAAAGAAAGCATTCTTCCTCTTCCAACAAATCTCAAAGTAGCAAATCGAGGATATGAGGGGGAATAATCTTTATTTCAAACTTTGAGAGCATTTAAAAAGTGTAAGTACTATCATTCCAAAAGTTATCTTAGATTAAGTATTTAAGACATTTTCTGATAAAATATTACATACCAGTAAACAAAATTCCAAGAAAAATTTTACTCTGACATTCAATTGGTATTATGAGGAATAAGTTCTTTATCAACACGTTATTTTTGTTTTTAGATCCAAAATTATCAATTGCAGTAATTAATAATTAATATGTAAAATGACTATAATAAAAATTTATAAACACTAACTTCAAAAACTGAAAGAAATGTCTAAGAATTGTTTTTCCTTTTAATCAACATTTTCAATGTGATTCCCTAAAATGCTTTGATATTTTCCTCCAAATTATCTCATTAATTTTAGTCATCCAATGTGGTGACTTTTTAAAATCCCCAATACTAGTAAAGCATTTACTATTCTGCATTTTAATTTTCCTCTTATTTTTCTCTAACTCTCTATAAATTGTCAGCTCTGCAAGCCTGGATACAGGGAGGGTCTCTCCCATTCACCAGTATATCCCTCTCATAGAGTTCCTGGCACATGGGAGACACTCAATAAATATTGAAGTAAATGAACAGAGACATAATTTGATTAAAGTATTTACCTAATGTAGAATATATTTCTTGCTCATTAAGATATTGTTTAAATATGAGACAGGTTAGTATTTCATACATATGGGAGGAAGGTGAATAGAAAAGTACCTTTCAATGAGTGTCCCATTTTGAATCATCCAAACATCACAATATGTTCGAGACACCAGCATAACAGCAATAAGTAACAAGTAACCTGTCTAAAATAAATCAGGTACAGTAAATTAAATAAATGCATTTTAAAAAGTTTAAAAAACAAACAAATATTACTTTGGTAAAGATTTTTTATTTCTAAATTCAAGGCTTTATTCTAGCTTTAATACAGTTGGCTGATATTTTACCTATAGGCAATTTTTAAAAATTTTTTAAATATAAATGGAAAAGGCCTTATAGATCACTTAATTTAACTTTCTTATTCAGAATTCAAAAGTGAATCCCAGGCAGGTTAAGTGACTTGCCTTCATACAATTAGTCAGTGTCAGAAATTAGCATTATTACTTAAATTACCCGAATCACATGTATTATGATTATCTTATATTTTTAATATATTATTAAGAAAAATGATAATAACTGTCAATAAACAATTAAACAACTAATATGGAAGACTATACTTTTGCCCAAGTAGAATAAGTTTGGTTCTGTTTTTTAGGAAAATCTCTAAGAGTGCCTCTGCCCTCACAGGACTTTCAATTTAGTTATTAAGGCAAAATTTACACTAAAAAAAAGGAAGAAAACAGACCAATGTAGGTATATTTGCATCACTTCATGTGCTAAGTAACAGGATAGGAAGGCCTTGGGTAGCAAAAGAGGGTAATGATATTAGAAATACATTAATCATACCAAGTAAAACAAAAGAAAGAATGAGGATTATGAGTAAAAAAAAATGATTTAATGAAAAATAAATGGATTAAAACCATATGAATTACAGTATAGCATATCCAGCAGAGTTTAGACAATATAAAACTACTAAAGGCTTGTAGGTAGAACAAAATGTTAAAGGTACTGTTTAGCAAACATTACTGAAGCAATGCTGTACAAGAAGAATTATCAAGGGGGAAGAGATGAGATATCGAGTGGCTGGCTAGTAATCAATTATCTCTCTGTTAGATGAAAATCTACCCTCCAACCTCCAAAGCACATTCAAAACTGACCTTAAACCTTCTAAACAGGAAGAATGTGACAGTAACACAGAAGCTAAAGTCGGGGAAGCTGGTGTATGGCAGGGAGGACATCTGTTGGATTATGTGCTTAATTTCAAAGTTATGGAATTGAGGGGCAACTGCATCTAATACTTATGTAATTTTTGCAAAACAGATACTTTTTTTTAAAAGATTAAGGTACTAAAAATATAGCCCTTTAAGTGAAAGACAAGGCAGGGAGTCATACACAGAAGTAGTGAATGAAGCCGTAAGAAAGAAGATGGTGTGAAATAAAGTCTGTGATTGAGCTATGACAAATGCTACCCCAATGTTTGCTGGAAAGAAACAATACCATCTTTCTACCCTATCTTACCATCTCAAAGTTAGATATTCAATTGACAGTAGAACCTATTGATTTTAATAAATGTTGTCTGTATGCCATTCTAACTGTAATGTTAACTTTTAATTCAGACCTTTCATACAGTCTCAATCCTAAATTACTCACTTCAGTTGTATAAAGGTGGCATTAGACAAAGATAGTTTATTTATTTCTTCATTTTATGCTCTTGGCTTAATTTATCCTTAAAGTAAGTATCAAGTTTACTTGTGTCACTTTAGCAAAATCTGGCAAACTAATTATTGACAGCCCCGAAAAGCCTTTATATAAAAGATGTAGTTAAAATCACCACTATTCCCATTATTAATGGGTTTGCAGACTATGACAGAAATTGAAGATCTGCACTAATGTAGGCTTTCTCTCACCTTCTGGTATATATGAATTTCCATATATTCATATGTAGTATTATCATTTCTCTATTTTATAAATTAGTTAATCTATCCCTACCTCCAATCTTTTTTGATTTCTATAGGAGTTTACTTCACTTTCTTGAACTAGGGTTAAATTTGGATTTTCATATCCTTCAAAAATGGTTCATAAAATAACTCTAGACAAAACTGGCAGGTTAGCCAGGTTAGGCTCTTCTACCTCCTTACTAACTCCTAGAGATCTATCCAATGTCTCACATTCATTTTGTAGTCAACAAACCCCTGCTAAGTAGTTAAATAAGTATATGCTGTTAACTGACGAGGGGGGAAATATATGAATCTTTCCAGAGAAGCTTGTATTTTAAATGTATATTTTATTGATTTTTTACAGAGAGGAAGGGAGAGGGATAGAGAGTTAGAAACATCCATGGGAGAGAAACATTGATCAGCTGCCTCCTGCACACTCCCTACTGGGGATGTGCCCGCAACCAAGGTAGATGCCTTTGACCAGAATCGAACCTGGGACCCTTCAGTCTGCAGGCCGACGCTCTATCCACTGAGCCAAACCAGTTATGGCGAGAAGCTTGTATTTTAAATAAGAACTCTCCAAAGTCAGGTAGGTTGTAGAATAAGAAAATAACTAACTATGCCTGAAGAGTCCTGGGAAACCTTCACAAAGAAGATAATGAGCATTAAGCTATTTTTTTTTAAGTATTTGTTACGTTTAAAAAATAACTTAATTTTGTTGGGGTGGAGGCCCGGAATGTCATAGACATGAAGCCATGACAGCACACAGCCTGACTGAAACATGGCAAAGAATCTTCTAAGCAGATGATATTGAAAGGAAGGTCAAAGTCAGGTTGTGATTTATCCTATAAGAAAATGTATATATTCTTTTTATTAGGATTTTAACAAGTTAGGAAAGGAGAAGCAAACAGACCATTTAAGAGATTATAATAATCCAGTAGAAATGGAAAGCGACTAATTTAAGAGAAACTAAAGGATACTTGGAAAAACATTTAACATACAAGGGAGGAAGCATATTTTAAAAGTTTCCGTGTGATCTCATTTTTATTATGTGCTCACACCAAAATAATAACAGAAGTTCTCTCTGAGTGGGAGGCTAACAGGCACCAAGAAGAAAAAAATATCTATCTGCATTTACCATTTTTTTTTCAAGGAACACATTATCTCTATCTAATCAGAAATAAACAAATGTTTTTATTTTTTAGAGTTTCTTAAGGGTGGAACTCTTAAGAGTTCCACTTAAGGGTGGAAGTAAGGGGGAAGGAGAGCAAGTCCAATGTAATGGAGGAATATTTATTCTCCTCGGGAATCACATTGTTTTTGGAGCATCTTATTCTTTTCTTGCTATTAATAGATTATAAGGCAAATGCTTTTTAAAATTTGAACAATGGGAAACATCGTAAGATAAATTTGGCAGAAAAGATTAAAAGGGAGATTCTCTGAAATGAGACTAATTAAAGAACACTATGACATCCAGGCTAGAATATTTAGAAGAAAAACTGTCAGATCCCAGTGACTGAAAGGATAAGGTATGAGGAGAAGAAGAGTAAAAGGTGATGATACTGGTGCAGCCACTGTGGAAAACAGTATGGAGTTTCCTCAAAAAGTTAAAAATGGAACTCCCATTTGACCCAGTGATCCCACTTCTAGGAATATATCCCAAGAAACTAGAAACACCAATCAGAAAGGATATGTGCACCCATATGTTCATAGCAGCACAATTTACAATAGTTAAGATTTAGAAACAGCCTAAGTGTCTATCAGCAGATGAGTGGATTAAAAACCTGTGGTACATCTACACAATGGAATACTACGCTGCTGAAAAAGAAGGAACTCTTACCATTTGCGACAGCTTGGGATAGAACTGGAGAGCGTTATGCTAAGCGAAATAAGCCAGTCGGAGAAAGACAAATATCTCATGATCTCACTCATTTGTGGAATATTATGAACAAAAATAGATCCAGAGACACAGAAGCATCCAACAGACTGTCGAACCTCAGAGGGAAGGCAGAGGAGGGTTGGGGGGGGCGGGGGGGGGGGTAAGAGATCAACCAAAGGACGTGTATGCATGCATATAAGCAAAACCAATGGACACAGTCAGTAGGGGGATGACTTCATGTGCAGGGGGGTGAAAGTGGCCAGGGAGAGGTCAATGGGGTGAAAAGGAGACATATGTAATACTTCAAACAATAAGGAATTTAAATTTTTTTTTAAAAAGGTGATATTTTTAGTTGTATAAAAGGAAAATCCTGAAGTGATTAAAGATGGAAAACACAGCAATATTTTATTTTTTAATCATTAAAAAAACTTATCTGTAATATGTTAAACAATAAAAAAAAATTTTCAGGCCAGTAAAAAAAAAGGACACATCAATAAAGATAATCTTGATAAAAGGGCAAAGAAAGGGATAATAAAACTTTATTCCTACAACCAACTCACTGAAAATATTTGAAATTTCAGATATCGTTTTGGTATCTTTTTTAAAAACATGTTTAATAATTTTATTAACCAATGTCACCCCAATAAATTCAATAAATTTAAAAATAAACAAAACATATTTAGTCAAATATGAAGTAACCCTGAAACCTATCCCATATCAATGTGACTTATTAATATCTTAATGAAATAAAATGATTTGTCTTTCTAAATTTAATCTTGTTTTCATTATAATAGAGCACCATGACTTAGGGTAGCTGCACTAATGTACTCTAGAATGTTACATAAAACATAATAAAATAATATTTCATAAATAAGAGAAAACTATTTTAAAACTGGCACTGAACAATAAGGATACTTATATGACAATGATTTAAAGACAAAAATTTAGTAGTCACCATGACCCATATAGAAAACATTTGGCCTTAGTATGACAAAAGCTTTATAATTTTATTGTTCTAATTTCATGTAACCTTTAAAGTTGAACACCTAATATTATAATTTCACTTTGTTTATATATGACTTACCTCTTTACAAAATGTTCTAGGGACCATGATTTTCAGAATCCGTGAGAGCCTTGAAAAAAACACCTTGTCCACCATAGCTCGCTCTTTTTTTCCTTCTTTCTATATAAAAAAACGAAACAAAAATTTTAATATAGCTATAACAAATCTACAACAAATAAGATTAAAGAACCATGTGGTATCTAAGTCAATATAAACTATCAAGATGTTATTGCATTGAGAAAATACAGAATTGTACTGCTCTTCATATTCAAACATGCTTTCAAGAAAATAAGATGTTACCAAAAACAATAAGCTGCATTTGTTTTATCTTGAACATGAATTTCCCTGATATCAATTGCATGAAACTTTTAGATTCCTAAATTTATCATTTAGCATTTCTAATATGCAATTTGCCAATTCACTCTCTCTTCCTCATAAATTCAATGACAATGTTTCTTCACTCATACAGCTCATAGAGCAGGGGAAACATAAAAATTAGTAAGTAAATTGTTACAGATAGACTAGGCAGGGTCATGAGAAAATGAACAATGATTCAGACAAGATGATGAGAAAGGTCTCTTTGGGAAGGTGGCATTTAGGCTGAGATATAAACAAAGTGAAACTATGTGATCAGCTTGGAGGGAAGAGGGTAGTGAAGCACAGGAAATACCAAGCAGAAAAACCTAGTGGTAGGAATAAAATGGGAGCAAGATGATAGTATTGCTAGAGCAAAGGGAACAAAATGAGAAAGCTGAAGGTAGGCAAAGACCTATAAAGAACAGAGGGTTAAAGCCACAGTAAGGATTTAGACTTATTGTCAGTGTAGAGGGAAACCACTAAAGATATTTAAGAGTAGTAATTAATCTTATTACCCTCAGACATTTCTTCATTTTGACTGGTTTGCAATGATAAGGACAAAGTGATATGAATTGGGTATGGTGGAGGCTATTTACTTTATTACCCTTGGACTGTCTGGAAGAATAGACAGGAGGAACTTCTTGGGATAGATAAGACACTCCAGAAGGAACCCATCCCCTACCTAGCCCTTCCCACATCTCCCACAATCACAGCTCAATTATTTGTTAACGAATATACTACTGATAAATACCCAAGATATAGTGAATTCTATTAGACAAACTTTAGTGTAAATATGCTATAGTTAAATTAGCATCTATCTTGATACCCTACAGTGAATAATTTTTGTACTAAATTAAACTAGTAATAAGCTACCATCTATATGTCAGACACTGTGCTAAGTGCTTTATAATCCTACTAGTGGCCCAGTGCACGAAATTCATGCACATTAAAAGGGAATTAATTAGAGGAAATATTTTAATATTGCTATTTGCCCTTTCTCTATAATAGAAGTATCAGAGATGAAAGAAAATTAGTGAGATGTATATGAAAATCTCCCTCCTGTCAGAGTCTAGGGTGCGCCGTGGGACCCAGAGTCAAGTCCCCGCCCACCCGCGTGCACCTCAAAGTCACATGAGACCCAGACCTGGCCAGCCCCACCCCCGTCAAGCCCCACCAGGCAGGGGGCACAGCCTCAGGTCCCCCATCAAGCTCCGCCGGGCAGGGGGGCACGGCCTCAGGTCCACCAGCCCCGGTGGGAGGGCGGGAGGGCAAAAGGATGTGACAACCATTTGCATATTAGCTCTTTATTATATAGGATTAGGCACAGAATGTAGTACAAAATTATAGACCAAGAAAGCAAGTCTTAAGTTTGTGTTTGTAGAATTCAATCAGGAAGACTGATAAAAAGAACTGGATAAAAATCAGCCAATCCTACAATTGTTGGAATAGAGTTCAGGTCTTTCAAACCTTACTGAAGGCTGCAAACCTCATCCTACTGAGTTACAGGCCCAGACTACTTCACTTACACATACATGCATTCATTGATTCAATATTTACTCGGCCCAAGGTACTGTTCTAAATGATACAGACACAGCAGTAAATAAAACAGACAAAAAGTCCTACTCTACTTAGCTAGCCTATTCTTTTCCAGGCAATCTCACAACTTCAACCTAAATCTTCCCTTTTACTCCACCAAACTGAAAAGAACAAGGAAAAGGCAATACACACCAATTACCTAAAAAAATAGTTAAACTTCTACTCTCAAATTTTTTCTCCTGTCACTGCCTCCCTACCTCACCTCATCCCATCAATAGCCAGTTTTCCATTGCTAACTTGAAGTGAAATAGAGTAATTCCAAAGTGAAATGGCCATCTTCTGACTTAAACAGAGCACTACCTACTTCTACATGGGTTCACAAAAATTACATAAATAAATAAATAAATAAATAAATAAATAAATATCTAGGGCAAACAATGAGGAAGGTTTAAAAAAAGTTCTAAGATAGTAACATTGAAGCATTAAAACAAAAACAAAACACAGCTACCTGGTATACAATTCCTCCTCTTTTTTTCTGTTCCTGTTGTCACTGCTCCTATTGCTTAAGCTGTCTGAAAGCCTGCCTTGATTACATTTCAATCCATGAAGGGAACTATATACTTCTTAAAGTCCTCACAGGATTTTTCTGCAAAAAAAAAACAAAAAACACCACCTGGACTGGAGGACTGGCTCAGAAGAGCTCAAGAAATAGAGATGCTCTACCATTCTTGAACCTTGAAACCATTCTAAATGAGAATACCTACAGAGACATTACATTTTGTAAACAGTAAGCATGCATTTTAAATTTATAATTGACTTTCCCCACCTCTAAATTTCCCAGTAATTTCTTAAAAATACAAAAACCACTTTGTTGCTATAAATTTAACATATAAATTATAGAAAAAGCACGCAAGCCATTAGATAAAGACCAGTTAAGAAGTTCAAGTATTAACCAGAAAAAAATGTACCTAATATTCAGGAGGCAACAAGGGCGTTGAGAAGTTCCTATTTATGTGTCAATGACTTGGAAAGGAGAGATGAACTAAAACTGACTAAAAAAAGATAGATGTTTAAAATAGCAAATAAAATAAAAGGCCATACAGTGCTGACCAGAGTGTAAGCATAATACATACAATGATTCAATTTATAAAATGTTTCAAAATGCAAAATAATTTTACCTATATTGTTTATGGAGCTATACATACCTATACTTCAAAAGTATAAAAATATGCATGGGAATGCTAAACACCAATCCCAGCACACTGTTTACCTTAATGTCTTTTGAATTTACATGATGTAAATTACAACAAATTTAAATAAAAAAGTATTTTAAAATCAAATTAATTATCTCTATATACTGTTTTCTAACTGAATTCAATCTTTTTCTCCTTCTTAAATCTTATGTCTTATGAAAATTGTTTCAATCCACCCCATCCTACCAGATTATAACAAATTTCAATGAAAAAAAATCTCTTTTAAATTGCTTTCCCTCATAAGTAACATATTCACTAAAAAAAAAGAAAGAAAAAGAAAATTCTGATTAGCAAAAATAAGAGGCTTACACCTACCATTTAGAGATATCAACTTAATATTTGGCATATATACCAGATTTCATTTTAGTATATACTAGAGACCTGGTGCACAAAATTCGTGCACTGGGGGGGGGGGGTGTTTCCCTCAGCCTGGCCTGCACCCTCTCGCAGTCCAGGAGCTCTGGGGGGGGATGTCTGACTGACGGCTTAGTGGGCCTAAGCCCTCAGTTGGACATCTTAGCATTGCCCCGGAGGGGGGAGAGGGTCCCACCACTGCTGCTGCAATCGCCAGGCGTGAGCCTGGGTTTCCCCTGTGGGAGCACACTGACCACCAGGGGGCAACTCCCGGGTTGAGGGTCTGCCCCTGGGGGGCAGCGCACATCATACTGAACAGTCATTCCACCATTTGGGCCTTTGGAAAATTGCCTTTAATTTTTTGGGATTCCCCGTGGAGAAGACCCCTTGAAACAGAAAAAAATGCAAAAAAAATCCCTGCTAACTCATTTTCCAAATGCCCCCCTTTAAAAAAAAATATCCCCCCGTGTGGGGCAAGGGCTGCACCTTTGGGAAACCACTGGGGCTTGAAAACTTTTCCCTCTCTTAGATTTTATTTAAGAATACAAACCCCTTTCCACTTGGAATTTGAATCTCTTCTTCCCCCCACCCTCCATGGGTGGTCTAGAGGA